CCAAAAAAAAAAAAAAAAAAAAAACATTTTAATGACTTTAGCTAGGGATTAAAGTTGAAAAGCATAAAATATAATTTTAAGGCATTAAATGTCTTGTATTTTGCGTTAAAAAATGACACGTGGCGTTTGATAAAGTGAAAATGTTCAAATGAAAAGGTTAGTGCGAAGGTTGCTAACATTTGGATTTCTTTAAACCTTCTTATCCTACAAAATCAGAAACACTTTGTATTGTAGGGTCCCATACTATGTAGTATGGACTATAAGTTCTGAAGACAGTTATACACTTGGTTAGCACTTGTTATACACATGGGAATGTTAGACATTAACATTAACAATGTTAGTGTGCTAATAAGGAACATGTTTATTAGGATTCATTAGCTTGAACACTCATGATAGTACTAGAAGTCTTTCTAGCTTATATGAATAAGGGTATTCACGGTGATAAGGTTAAGATCAATCAAGAATACTCAATGGAAAGCATCTTAGTTGATTACCACATTGTATGGTATATATATTAGGGTCCCTGCACTCTCTTTAATCACGCAAGCTTACAAAAACTCAAACCCCATTCTTGAGGCCTTGCATACTGAAGAGGAGAGATGCACAAGAACTCTAATCCCAACAAGCATGTCATCATCTTCAGGTGAGTGGTTAATTTGGTACTGTGTTATAATATTCAAAATTCATATTCATACATATTATATGTTTTACATGGACTACTACGAGTATTAAATGATTTGGATGCAAAGAACCACATCATCCAAATCAATTCATCTCATTCAATGCTCGTAGTATTTTATACCATGCAGTATGGAAGAATTTTCCAGTATGGTATGTCATATCCAAAATTAATGAAATATGACATCAATTGCATTATCCTGTTGGATCACTTGGTGTTGCATCCTGGTGCATTTTGGATACGAGCTATAGATACTAGTTGGACCAGAAAAGGATTTGAGTTGGGTCTTGAACTAAGATCATCGAGGCTTCTTCAATCAAACCATCGCTGAAAATGAGCTCACATTGTCACACATCGAAAGTTGAAGGTCAATTGGTTCCAAAGTTGAAGTTGATTAGACCAATGGCGTCCCACCCCATGCGTGTGGCCACGCCACGTTGTGGTGATTAGTTGCACCGTCACATGTCAAGAATCAAAAGGGTTTTCCATGCAGATAATGTTTTTCCATATGCGCTAATAAGCTATTGCACAAATACAAAACTCTCCATCAGCTCTTTAGCAAATGCACTTTTTATGATTTATGCACATTATTTTCTCGTTTCTTATACATCTTTTGTTATTTTCATTCAAATCGAATGAATTTAAAAAATTAATAAACATACATAAACATGAGTCTAACCAAAATTTTATTTATTAATTCATCATACAAGGGTATGATGAAGCTTAACTTTTGTATGAAGTGAGTATATGATAAGTTACTAACTTGATCGAAATGAAGTATGAGATATCATGCTCTTCCGTTCTCAATATTGCATTGTATGTTTAGGTTGTATGTTTAGGTAGAAGGGGTAGCATTCAACTTGTAAGTCATCAAATTCAAACCCTTGATGTGTCACCTAAGTAAGATGGTATATATGCATGTGCTGGGTTGAGGTCAGTTTAAGTTTACTTAGTTTTCCAAGATGGTCTTTATTTGCCAACATTGTCATTAAATATTTGCAAGCAAAAGCCATATATTATATATGTGGGGGCAAGCAATGTCAACTATATATATGATGATGTAGTCGAATAGTTGCCTATATTTGCTTAGTTCTTGGACATATATATCCTTTATTCGTTCAATTTTGACGGGACGAACTGGAATATATATAGTTGATGATTTGATGGAAAATACCTTAAACATACATATGTGCATGCAATCTGTCACTCATGCAGGGCAGGTGAGAGAATAGAATTTGTTGTTTGAGTTCTTCCAAACTATACCAGCGAGCAGCTTGGGACCAAAGATAGAGTGTTATACGAACAAAGGTCACAAAAACTATGAGAGAGAGCATTGGATATCCTATATTTTTCCCTAACAAGTAACAACCACCCCATAAGATTGGTTGAATATTGGATAAGAATATTTTAAGGTAAAAGATCCCATCCAAGATCTACCAATTGTGGACCTGAAAAAAATCCCATCTTTCGAAAATAAGTGATTGAAATGCAATCTGTCGACACGAATATTATTGAAGGTGGGTGTAATAATTGTAAATGGAAGAAAGTATTGCTTTAATTAGTCATTAGGTGTAACTAAACGCACATGCGTGGTTCCATGCAAGTATCACTCAAAAAATTAATTTCATTTGTGGGGATGATTCTTTATTAATGTCGATTGATTTGGTAGTAAGACAAGCATTTCAAGATGGAGAACAAGGCCATGAGATGCTTAAATCCACATATATATGTACTAAGTGAGTCCCACGTACGTACTCCAACAAAAGTGATCAATAAAAACTGGCCTCCACTTGAAATGGTTTTCCCCCGAATCAAACGTAAATTAAAAACATAGAAATCGATTTTACTCGATAGACTATTCTATATCATAGCGTTATTTTTCCAGAATTACATGTTTGAGTGATGAGAAACTCCGAGTAGTGTATCGGTACTGGGCGAATCGTCCATTCAAGTAGGTTTTACAAATGAATTGTTAATTTGACGAATATTTGATGTAAATTATATATATGTAAGAGTTCCAGTGAACTATGTTTTGTTTCTATACCTATGGTACTACTATCGCTACACGTCATCATGTTGACTATGAGTGTATCTCGATATCAGGACATTTGTTCTGAACATTATTACATAAGAATCATAAAAACTGAAAATAAAAAAGGAAACAAGTTTGTTATCTCAAGAAATAACATTGTTGGATAAAGAAACACTTGAAAGAAAGCTCAAGGTCTACGAAGGTAAGGTAGTTCTCAGTAAATGAAGCAATATATAATTTCTCCTAGAGACTGATACAAGCTAGCCCATGTTAAAAAACGCAACCCCATATATAAAAAGAATACATAAAGGAATCCTAGAGATGATCCTAGCTAACTTAAGAACGTACCTAAAAGGTTTGTTTGAGGGAAAAGCGGATCACTCTTCAAAATAAAATCTTCTTTTTTTAATAAGTAAGCCAACTTTTTTTCCGGATAAGTAATAAGTAATAACTAAGATCCTTTTACTTTTCCTCAGTTAACTATCAAACCTAGAGCTTGCAATAGAAGAAACTAAGAGCTAGTTGATCTAGAAAGGAGGGTTGGTTGTAGAATTGTAGCAACTTTAATGAACAAGCTGTGTGCTTCAAGGAGAAACGTGTAGGTTTGGCTTGTTTGGGCTTGTTTGATAATGCATGTGACGCAAAAGAAAATGCCTCCATCACTACCTAAATTTTCTATATACTCTCTAAGTAACACATGTGCACATGAAAGCCACCTCATGCACCAATTAACTTCATTGGGGCCATGCGATACGAGATTGAAGAGGAAAGTGACCTAATTATATGTTAACAATTCATAAAAAGGTAAAAATTATGAGTTTTCTTCAAGAAATCTAATCAGAATCAAAACTAACTAAAAGTTTCTTGATGATAATTAGATGTATTAGGTTCATACCTAATCCCATTAGGCTCTTACGAGATACAATATATGCTGGTGCCCTCGTGGGAGTTATGTTTTGTATGTTTCAATTATTAGTTAATTACAAAATGCTTGCTTTAGGAAGTACGAATTTAATTAGTTGCTAAATCAATATACATGCAAGGTTTAATGACACAGAATCTTCATCTTTTTGCCTGAAAATATCATAAATTCTGAGTTTCATGGATGAAACTTATAAAATTGTGAGTACTTGTGCTTCTTCTTTTTTTTTTTTTTTTTTGTGGACGGACGAAAGTGTATGTACCTGTGCCCAAACCTAAAGGTACATAGCGCAGCAAAGTGGACACGAACTTTAGCAAGATTCGCAAATAATGAATATATTTAATTTAGTAGAAAGACTTGAAAAGTAATATCGAAGATAGAAAGACAATGACAGTCACCAAATTGCCTCACATGAAGAAGGAATCGACCAGTATAAAGACTGGAGCTTGGTTTCTATTGGGAGAGAAGGTGGATATGATCTTGTTTATTTTGAAAACTGACAAAATGTGGTTAAAACAATAGGGGCGTGGGCATGACATGAGGGCACAATTACTGCTTAAATATTCACACGGTTTAAACAAGGTTTATGTGCGCGCCTATTTTCATTCGGTCCCATGTCCCTCTACCTTTTAATGTTTGGTATTGTGTACATCAATATATATGTTGTTTAAGGAAAAGTGTTAATTGTTTTGAACTGAGTGCTAAGTCACCTTTTCAATATTTAAATATTTAGTGATTGATAAAGTATTAGGTATTGTAAATCGATAACAACATATCAACTGATCACTGATGATCTTATATTTTCAACATATAAAGCTAAAAGTGTTAAAAGTATTATCCGACGAAACATGAAAAGTTTGCATATATAGTAGTAGAAAATTTTTTGTACCTAAGAGGCCACACATGCTCTCCCTATCACTTAATTCAATTTGTCTAAGTGTTTGACTCAAGTGAGGCCAAATTAACGCGTTAGGTGGATCCTCCCCTAGATGTTATAGAATCATGAGAAAAAATTATGGTAACATAAGTCATTTGGTGTATTATACGTATTGTGATAAGGTTAGACGATACGATTAATATTTATCATTTGTAAAGCATATTAATATAACAAAAATAAATAAATCCACATAGTTGATAGAACAACAACTCCATGTAGCCGTATTCTTGGTATACCAAAAAATTGATGACAAAAGCATTGTAAAAGAGCTTTTAAGTTTTTCTTTTCTTTCTAATACAAACAATAGACTATATCATCTAAACTAGAAGGAAAATGATTTAAACTTCAATGTAAAAGAAGAGTACACGTACTCTAACCAACTTGACTAAAGTCAAATCTGAAACAACTTTTAAGTTAAAAGTGCTCTCATTCTATCAAAAAGTTGTACCTTTAGAAGGACAACTATAGGTAACTACCGGAAAACAAAAGAAAACTTGATCAAACCCTACCGGCAGAACTACCATATATCGATCCTTATAAATACCTTGCATGTATGTTCAATAATTTTGCAAGACAGTTGCCCCTCTTTCTCCGTTCACTCTCTGTCTGTCATAACACAAGGAATTAAGCAAGCAGCCTAGAAACAAGTAAAAGAGAAACAAAGGCAATGGTTGAAGCAGCAGAGCAATCCCAAAAGTACCCGACAATGGCAGAGGTAATCTTCTTCATCGCATATTATCATTAATTAATTAATATTGATTTTTTTAATTCATTTTATGAACTTTTCCAATCTTGAACATGTTCTAGGTGGTGGAAGAACTTCAGAGAATGACACATATTGGCTTCCCAATTGCGGCCATGAGTTTAGTGGGTTACCTCAAAAACATGGTCCTAGTTGTGTGCATGGGAAGGCTTGGAAGTCTTGAGCTAGCAGGTGGGGCTTTAGCCATTGGCTTCACCAATATCACTGGCTACTCAGTCCTCTCGGGCTTGGCCATGGGCATGGAGCCTCTATGCAGCCAAGCTTTTGGTTCACAAAACTTCTCCATAGCTTTCCATACTTTACAGAGAACTATTCTCTTATTGCTTCTCACTTCTCTTCTAATTGCTTTGCTTTGGTCCAATCTTGAACCTCTATTGTTCCTTCTCCATCAAAACCAAGATATAACAAGGATTGCAAGCTTGTATTGCCAATTTGCCATCCCCGATCTTGTTACCAATAGCCTTCTTCACCCCATACGTATTTTTTTACGTAGTCAAAGCACAACATGGCCACTCATGTGGTCCACTTTACTAGCAATCATTCTACACATTCCTCTCACAATCTTCTTAACCTTCACTCTTTCCCTTGGGATCAAAGGAATAGCAATTTCCACTTCTCTTACCAATTTCATAACTCTATTTTTTCTTGTGGGTTACATGGTCTATGCCCATATCACGAAAAAGCCTTTTTATTGTTTGGTTGCGGACCAATGTGAACCCACTACTAAGTATGATACATCGCAAACATTGTACCAACCATTATTACCTAAAAAAGTAGTACCACTTTCGTTGAGGAAAGTGCTAGGAGATGACGAATGGAGGATGCTAATTCGACTTGCTTTGCAAAGTTGCCTAGGAGTTTGCTTAGAATGGTGGTGGTACGAGTTCATGACAATTCTAGCCGGTTACCTTCGCAAACCTCACATTGCCCTAGCCACATCAGCCATAGTGATACAAACCACATCTCTCATGTACACATTGCCAACGACACTAAGTGCATCAGTGTCTACACGAGTAGGCAACGAGCTAGGGGCAGGCCAACCCAAAAAGGCACGTTTGGCAGCAGTGGTGGCGGTGGGGATGGCACTAATGAGCTCATTGTTGGGCTTGTTATTGACCACTCTGGGGAGAGAAGCATGGGGGAGAATTTTCACAGATGATAATGAGGTTTTGGAGCTAACAATGGGTGTGCTACCAATTGTTGGACTATGTGAGATTGCAAATTGTCCACAAACTACAAGTTGTGGAATTTTGAGAGGAAGTGCTAGGCCAGGCATTGGGGCATGGATTAACTTTTACTCATTTTACATGGTAGGTGCGCCTGTTGCAATAGTCTTGACGTTTGTTTGGAGATTAGGGTTCAAAGGGCTTTGTTATGGGCTTCTAGCAGCTCAAGTTACATGTGTGGTGTCTATATTAACAGTGGTCCATAAGACAGATTGGGAGAAAGAATGGCTCAAGACGAAAGAGTTTGTAGGAAAGAATAATCATGGAATGGCTGCATTTGCACATGCAGATGAAACAGTCAAATGTGAAGAGGGTGTTGCAAATTAGGAGATTTGAAATGTCCAAAGGATTTCGTGGGAAAAGTGTGTATGCATTTCACATGCATAGCAAATAGATGGTTGAATGTGAAGAGACTAGATGTTGGTGTTTCTAAAGAAGTAGAATATTTTGAATGCTGATTGATCGATAGAAGAACAATCGCACAAATAGTTCCCATTATTCGTTGTAATTTACGATTTGTAATGTTTTTGCGGTTGCTGTCGAGCTATTTCTAGGTGTTACTTGTTTATAGTTTTACATGTATTCTTCTTGTACTAGTCATACAAATTTATATTATCTTATAACTTTGATCTTTACATGTGTATCTGATTTTAGGGTGGAAATTAGGCTTACTAGCTACCATTATAAAATACTTAGGCTTACAATCATAGTTCAACTCTAACTTGGTCTAACTTGGCGATTCGATTGTTTCTGGTATGTCCATATTCTTTAGTTTAAATTTTTCTAAATTTTTTTTATTATCTTTATTATTACATCACATGAATTAAACTCTAAAATAATTATAACCTTAACTCATTACCTTACCCTCCTCCATGCTTGAACTAGCCTCAAGATGTTATTTAGAAAAACTACCCCTATAGCACATAAAATTTTTCATAAGTTGTTGTTGTTGTTTTTTTTTTTTTTTTTTTTTTTTGTCAAAAAGATAAAAATTTATTAAAGTCGAATGACAAGGTTTATATCAACTGCAAGAATATTAAATAAAAAATTCAAACCAATCTCATTCCAAAGGAACTTGCCACCATGCTAGGTAGCAAACGAAACCATCTCGTGAGTAGCCAAGTTACCTTCCCGGGAAGCGAACCCAAACTTAACAAAATCAAAATGCATAGCTAAAGAATCTTGCATCCCTTTCCATCTATCTATTAATCATACGAATCAAAGATTGGGAGTCAGACTCGACCTCCACCGCTGTTTCTGTAAAATATCAATGCTGCCCTCACGGCAGCAGCCTCAGCAGCAATGGCAGAACAAAAAATAAATTTCCCCACACCCCCAGCTCGCTTTAAAATCCCAGCAAAGTCTCTTAACAGCCACCCCAAACCACCCAACCTCGTCTTTGACTTCCAAGCACCATCGCAATTAATTTTCAAGGTTCCAAATTCCGGCTTCTTCCAACTTCCCTGCACGCCCTTGCCGACGGAATACTTCCAGGATGACGCGGTCCCTGGTTATCAATCTTAACCATCACATCTCTGAACTCACTCACCTGCCCCCTCCACAACTCCGAAGCCTCCGTTGGATTCTTCATAAGTTGTTAGATAATTACAGATACTAACTAATCACTCGCAATTTACTTTATGCACTCCCTGCTTTTTACGTAGTCTCTAAATTAAGTAACTAAATAAAATCAGGAGACATAATAATAAAACAGTGCAGATAAAAGATGAATGCAGACATCAGTCCTTAGATAACTTAGTTTTTTTTTTTTTTTTAACAAACGATATTATCTACACAGTTAATAATATTTTTTTTTTTTAACAAACGATATTATCTACACGGTTAATAATAAAGCGCTACCTACAAAGAAGAAAATACTTCTAGATGCAGCCAAACCATCCCAATATAAACCATTTCACCTCTCCACAAATCTTGTTAGAGTTCGATTAGTTTGGGCTTTTAATCCTCGAAGTCCAAATTGGCGAAGAAGATGGGCCTATGGTAGAGACCTTATTTTCCTACGTAACGTTTTTTTACATTAAAAGAAAGGTGACAACGGTAGGATTTCCTTGAAAAAACTCTCCCCTATGAGAGAAATTATCTTCCCTCGTTGACCCCTGTCTTTAGACTCGGCATTAATCTCTCTGTAGTCTTTTCTCTCTGTTTTCCTCCTTGCTTCCTATCTCATAACTATCTTCATCCTTTGATTGTGGCCACTCTTATCTCTGGTGAGTCTTTACATTTATGGTTGTGGTTGTGTTCGTCAGCTCACTTTGTCAGAGTAAAGTCTTTGTAGGGTTCATGGCTTACAACTCAAGCTCAGATTTTTAAGCGACAGTTGTTGTTCAGAGTCAAGGGTGGTGGTTTTATTTCTTGTGGTTATTGTGCATGGCAAAGAACTATGAGAAGGAATTTCAATGTTTGTGGAGTCTCGTAGTAGTGTTTCCTTAACAATAGTTGCAAGATCATTAAACCGTGTTGCAGTCTTTTTCTTGCGGTGTCTTTAGTAGGCTAAGGATCACTTTTATTGTATTTCGGATAAGATTGTAATTGTGAAGTTGTGTATGTTTTTTTTTTTTTTTTTTTTTTTACCAATGTAACCTCTTGGTTAAATTTGACATGCATGACCTATTGGCGTTTGTAATAAAGTTTCATTTGAAATCTCAAAGGGAAAAAAAAAATAGTGGCATACCACGTCAACCAAATAAAGTCATGCCACGGTTAGAACGAGAATAAAAATATTAATTTTTGATTATTGAGTTTTTTGTGTTTACTGAAGTAATCATATGTTAATATTTGCGAAAATTATGAACCAAATCAAGAAGAGGGGGTTAGTGATCTGATTTCTTTTTCTATTACTCCATTTTTTTAATTTCCTGATTCCTTCTCTCATTTTAATTAAATAAACAGGTCATCATTGTTTCTTTCTTTTTTGTTTTTGGATGAATATTTTCCTATTCAGCTACCTTTCAAGTCTCAACCGAATAAATGTCGCTTTTTCCTTTTTCCCCTTTTTCTGTTTAATGGCAGGCAAACTGATGAAGACGATGGTGACTGGTTTGCAGAGCTTGCACAAACACTGGGTCGGGGGCTGCTTTTAGGGTTTTTTTTTGGGTCAATAAAATGATTAAAGGGTAAATTATATTTTACCATCTCATGTTTGAGATTTATTGTAACCTCATACAATATCTTCAAAATATTTCACTTTCATACATCAAGTACTATTTTATTTTAATATAATACATCCGTTACATTTTTAATCCAATGATCCGTTAAGAGTTGACGTGGCAGTCACATTTGTGCCACGTGGCTGCCAAATTTGTGCCATGTGGTAAAAAAATAATTTTTTATACATTAAAAATATTATAATAATTTACCCTATTAATAAAAATAAAAAATAAAAAAAACCAGAAACCCAATTTCCTCTCGACCACCTCCCTCTCCTCCACTCTCTTCACCTCCCATCCAAAAACCCACCCCACCTCCTCCTCCACCTCCACCTCCCCCGCAACCCCCCCTCCCAAGAAACCACCCACCAATCATAAACTATCAGCTCAGACATGCATAATGAAGCAAGAAAAACAAAAACCCTTACTTTCCTTATCTTAATCCATCAAACAAAGCAAAAGCAACACCAATTTCACAGCTTTACCAAAAAATCAGAAACTCAACAAGCTAAAATCCCTAACTCTTCAAATTTCTACATTATTGATGGCGACCCAAACCACAACATGTGAATTTTAGCTTGTTGGGGTTTGCTCCGACATCTACGATGAGGGTGACGGTGTGTGCAAGATAACTGCAGGTCATCGATCTAACCAAAAAACAATGAGCGCTTCAAGCGTGACTGAGGGAGGCAAAGTAATCGAGGAGGACAATGCCTCGAAATGGCGTCATTGCTAACTTCAGTCGATAAAACAACGCTGCTGGCGGTGGAGATTTTATCTGGGGTGGGACCAGCGACGTTGAAGCTCCAGTCGATTCGAAGCGGCGGGTTGGAGGCCGTGACGGGATCCGGAGAAAGTGGGGTCGAGAGATGCGGCCTTGGGTTCGCTGGTTTAGAGTTTTTGAATGGCGCAACAATGGCAGCCATTGATGAGATCTCCCTCGTGCAAGAAAAGTGTATTTTTTTCTCATTAATTTCTTCTCGTAGCAACGTCGCCGGAGAGGATCATCGGTGTTCGTCATGCTGCCTGTGGATTCCTTGAGGTCACGGGGCGTGGTCCAGAGGCCCAAGGCCATGGTTCAATTGTTGAAGAGGGAGGTGGGGGTAGGTTTTTGGATGGGAGAGGAGGTGAAGAGAGTGGAGGAAAGGGAGATGGTCGAGGGGAATGGGTTTCTGGGTTTTCAGTGTTTTTTTTTTAATTTTTTTATTTATTTTTTAATAGGGTAAAGTATTATAATATTTTAAAGGGTAAATTACAAAAAAAACTACCTCAACTATTGGGTCATTAACAGTTTCATAACACGCCTTTAAAAAGTTTCAATGTCATATCTTATCTTTCAAATTTGTTGCAATGTCATACCTTCCATCAGTTGTCAGTCAATTCACTCTATTAAATGTTGACGTGGCGTGTGATGTGGCACACTTTCTATTAAAAAACTAAAAAAAAAATCCTTTAATATTTTTTAAATATTAAAATAAAATTAAAAAAAAACCCCTCACCCCCTGCAACCCAGAAAGAAAGAAGAAGAAGAAGAAGAAGAAGAAGCAGAGGGAAAAAAAAAAAAAAAAAAAAAAGAAGCCCCAAGTTCGTCTTCCCCCACCCTATTCTCCCCTCATCCCCTGTAACCCAGAAAGAAAGAAAGAAAGAAAGAAGAAGAAGAAGAAGAAGAAGAAGAAGAAAAAAAAAAAAAGCCACAAGTTCATCTTCCCCCACCCCATTATCCCCTCACCCCTTGTAACCCAGAAAGAAAGAAAGAAGAAGAAGAAGAAGAAGAAGAAAAAAGAACCCAAGTTCGTCTTCCCCCCACCCCCTGCAACCCAGAAAAGAAGAAGAAGAAGAAAATGTAACGGATGTATTATTTTGAAATAAAATAGTACTTGAGGTATGAAAGTGAAATGTTTTAAAGATGTTGTATGAGGTTGCAATAGACCCCAACCTAAGGTGGTAAAGTGTAATTTACCTTCTTTTTTTTTTTTTTTTCTAAGGTAAAGTACAAAAAACTACCTCAACTATTGGTGTCACGATACTTTCATACCTCATCTTACTAATTTGTGTCAATGTTAGACTTCCGTCAGTTTTTCTGTTAAATGCTGACGTGGCCAGAAACAAGACCCATTTTTATTATAAAAAAAAAATAAATATTAAAAAAAATTAAAAAATTAAAAAATTTAAATAAATAAAAAACAAAAAACCAAAAAGAAAACCCATCAACCTATGTCCCCCCTCCCCGAAAACCCAGATCCTCTTCTCTGAGTTCTCCCCCATCGAACCCTCTATCTCCTCTCTCTCTCTCTCGCCTCTTTCTCTTCTCTCTCCCTGCAACCTGCATCCCTAAAATCCCAAACTCAGAAACCATTCCCACCCGAGTCATCACCGCTGGCAAGTTTTCAATCCTCTGAGCCGATGATCGCCGATTAACCCCAAACCCTTCCCCGCCATTCCCGTTGGCGTCGGAGCTTTCATTCTGGCACCACAGGTGCTTCTGGTTCCCCCATTTCAAATACCACGGCAAGTTGAAATTGTGCAGAGGCTTCGCCCTCTCAGAACCCATCGCTATGGACTTCATCTCCACTATTTCCTCCTCATTCGCCCTGCCTATATACACCATTTATCGGAAACTCAGACCAAAGAGAGCCACTCTCAAATCACAACTCTCTCTCTCTGTTTCTCACGCCTCCTCTAATTTTCTCTAAAAATCTCAAAATTTTCTGGGAAAAACAGAGAGTTTTTCTATTAGGATTGTTGTTGTTGTTGTTTTGTTTTTCTCTCGCAAATCGTTGGAGGGGCAAACTCTGAGGGCGAGGAGGAGAAGGGAATGTTGTTGTGGAGGTTGTGGCAAGAGTTAGGGTTTGGGGGCGATCAGGGGTCGTGGCTGTCATCGCTAGAGTCAACGATAGAGGTAGGGTTGTCGTCAGCGGATCGGAGAGGAAGGTTGAGGAGGACGGGTGGGAATGATTTCGGGGTTTTGGGATTTTAGGGATGCAAGTTGCAGGGAGAGAGAATAGAGAGAGAAAAAGAGGAGAGAGAGGAGAGAGAGGGTTTGGTGGGAGAGAACTCAAATAAGGGGATCTGGGCTTTTGGGGAGGGGGACACGGGTTTATGGGTTTTTTTTGGTTTTTTTGTTTTTTTATAAATTTTAAATATTTAATTAATTTTTTAATTTAAAAAATGGGTTCTGTCTCTGGCCACGTCTGCATTTAACAGAAAAAGTAACAGAAAAACTGACGGATGTCTGACATTGGCACAAATTCGTAAGATGAGGTATGACATTTT